AAAAAAAAAAAAAAAAAAAAATTAGCTATGCCTGGTGGCATACACCTACAGCCCCAGCTACGCCAGAGGCTGAAACAAAAGAATTTCTTGAACTCCAGAGTTTGATGTTGCAGTGAGCTAGGATCATACCACTACACTCTAGCCTAGGCAAGAAAGCAAAAAAGGAATTTATTTCCTATTCTAAAAATAACAGGAATTGAATGCTTACCTCCCTTCAGAGCTCTGCAAAAAGAATAACTATCATCAGATCCTCGGCAAATAACTTCTTTGCGCTTTGGGAGCTTCATGGAGTTGACAGATATATAGAGATTGAAATATAATTTTTGGATGTCTCTCCCTTAAAAAGAAAAAAATCCTTTTAGCCCATCAAATAAGAGATTCTTTTATACATAATTAACTGTACATTTAAAATGTGCCCTGTGATTTTCCTACATTATTTCATTTACTTATCAGAACTATCTACAAGGTGGTTATTATTATCCTTATTCTGCAGATAAGAAAACTAAAGTTTTGAGAGGGTAACGAGAGGTAGAGTGTAAGCAAATAAAATATTCCACAATAAACTATGTATACTATGCCTAAAAATAGATGAACTTTCATAACTCAATTGAGAAAACTATCAAATTCAGGCATCTAATTCAGTTATAATCACAGATGTGTTACAAAATTCAAAGGAAAGGAAAGAGAACGGAAGTGAGACAGTCAATGATTTTAGGATTTTTTTTTTCCACTGTTTTTGGCCAGGGCTGGGTTTGAACCCGCTGTCTCCGGTACACAGGGCCAGTGCCCTACTCCTTTGAGCCACAGGTGCCGCCCTATTTTAGGAGATTTGATGGAAGATTTCTTAGAAATAAAATTGAATCTTTTGATGAAAAATTAAATGCATGGTTTTTTTTTTATTTTCTGATCATCTCTTCCTATTACCAATTAACATGAAACACTTCAGTAAAGGCTATGTTTTGCTCTGGGGATCATCCTAATTCTCCTTCCTTCCTACTCTGTTTTTAAGATATCAGACATCTACCCCAAGCTGAATTTACTCCTTGCCTACCCTGGTTTCTTCTCTCCCTTATTGTTCATAAGCACGTCCCCCAATAAATCTCTAGCAAGTCTAATGCCTTCCTGGGGTATCTGCTTTTCAGAGAACCCTAAGTGATTCCACATTGCCTTATTATTTGGGCCTAAAAGGACAAAACCTACTTCTTGTGCATAAGGGCAAGAGATTCACTTGAAAGTGAGATCATTCATTGTTATCATCTCTTATGCCAAACACCTGGGGGTAAAGCTTATCAAATAGACCAGAAAAAAAGGCTGGGCACAGTGGCTCATGCCTGTAATCCTAGCACTCTGGGAGACTGAGGTGGGTGGATTGTCTTTTGCTCAGACAAACTCTGAGCAAGTGTGAGACGCCATCTCAAAAAATGGCTAAGCCATTGTGGCAGGAGACTATAGTCCCAGCTACTTGGGATGCTGAGGCAAGAGAATAGCTGGAGCCCAAGAGTTTGAGGTTTCTTTTTTTTTTTTTTTTTTTTGAGATGGAGCCTCAAGCTATCCCCTTGGGTAGAGTGCCATGGCATCACAGCTCATAGCAACCTCCAACTCCTGGGCTCAAGTGAGTCTCCTGCCTCAGCCTCCCAAGTAGCTGGGACTACAGGAGCCCGCCACACCACGCCCGGCCATTTTTTGGTTGCAGCCATCATTGTTGTTTGGCGGGCCCAGGCTGGGGATTCGAACCCGCCACCTTAGGTGTATATGGCTGGCGCCTTAGCCGCTTGAGCCACAGGTGCTGAGCCGAGTTTGAGGTTTCTGTGAGCTATGATGCCACGGCACCGAGGGTAACAAAGTGAGACTCCATCTCAAAAAAAAAGAAAAATAGGCCTAAACAGAACCTGGGAAAAGGAAAAAAATGTAGTGGCTTAACCAGGCAAAAGTTTAAATTGTTTCTTTTACCCTTTGGCCAAAAAGGTAGAGCAACCAGAGCTAATTATTTTCTGCTCTGTGTTACCACTAAGTCTTACTGCTATCAGTTCACTTATCATACCTTATTATCTTCAGATCTGTCTCGTCCACTGCACTGATAGATTCTTAAAGATCAAGAGAATATCTTCTTGTGAACTCATAATGCCTAGCACAATACTTAAAATATGCTATACATTTACTAATAAGCATTTTTTAGTGAATAAGTGAATGCAGAGACAAAGGGTCAAAATACAGATTGAACAATTAGATTAAGAAAAATTAAAACATTATTGTCTATCAGTCCTGGGTTCTTGGTTTTTTTTATTTGTTTGTTGGGTTTTTGATTTTTTGTTGTTGTCGTTTTGTTTTTCTCATAAGCCTGAGAACTAAAATCAAGGAGGAAATGTTTAAATTTATTTATGTGAAAATACTTTGTAAAGTATAAAAGTGTAAAACAACCTCCAAATTTAACTGGATGAAGAAGAAGGAGGAGGAGGAGAAAGAGGAAGAGGAGGAGGAGAAGAAAAACTGAATTTTTCTGGGCTCTCAGAGCTTACAGGCAATAAGCAATGTTGGCTGAGGGGTAGTAAACCCAGATCCAGGCCCATGCAATCACCACCACCCAAATTCGTTTTTAGTAAGCTGACAAGAAGCTAAGTCATGGAGAGGAAAAGTAAGACCCAACACAAATCAAAACAAAATACATTGTCTTCTTTCATGCCATTTTCACCATGTTTTCTTGGTGAAAAGATCGTCTTTCAAAACAAAAAGTCATGGCTTGCTCACACACAGATCTCTGACTAGTGGAAACCCAACATTACTTATCAGCTGAATAGCTAATGTTGGACCAATGATATACCTATTAGATTGTTAGAAGTCTCAAGTTATTTCCAATGCTATCCACATGTCCTTGTGTAGTTTTCTCGTCATAGTGTCAGCTGGCCTAGTGACTTGTTTCTAACCAATAGAAAATGGCAAAGTGAATGGTATCACTTCTGTGATATTGCTACATAACATTGCGACTTCTATTCTGCTGGCTGACTGTCCCCCCTTGCCGGCTTTGAAGAAGCAAGCAGGCATTTTTAAAATGCCCATGTGGCAAGGAACTGAGGGATGGCCAACAGCCAGCAAGAAAATGAATACTATCAATACCCACATGAGCTTAGAGGTAGATTCTGCCATAGTTGAGCTTCAGAAGACACCCCACTCCCGGTCAACACCTTGACCGTAGCCTTGTGGGAAACCCTGCAGCAGACACAGTCCGGGCATCCTCAAACTACGGCCCACGGGGGACATTCATGCGGCCCACCTAGGACATTTATCCAGCCCGCTGGGTGTTTTTGCCCCCCGCTGCCTGTCCTGCTTAGCAGCCGACTCGTCCTGGGGCCCGCAGTCCGGCCCTCCAATGGTCTGAGGGACAGTGAACTGGCCCCCTGTTTAAAAAGTTTGAGGACCCCTGGAGCCATTCCCAGACTAGTATCCCACCGAGACTATGGGATAATAAAATGTGGACTATGTTAAGCCACTAAGATTGTGGTAATTTGTTACGTAGCAATAGTAACTAATATAAATATATTTGGTACACAATTATTTATCATTGATATTTCTTAAACCCTTTAATTGATCTATAACAAAAAATTTGGACTTACTTGGAATATAGAAAATATGCAAATATCCTTTGGTTCCTGTCAATCTTATACAGGGGTCAACATTAATTGAAATAGGGTATTCCATGTGATCTAAATAAAATAAAAATAATGTTAATAAATTATTATAGTCTCAGCACCTGTAGCTGAAGAGGCTAAGGCACCAACCACATACACCAGAGCTGACAGGGTTTGAATCCAGCCCACACCTGCCAAACAACGACGACAACTACAACCAAAAAATAGCTGGGAGGCTGAGGCAAGAGAATGACTTAAGCCCAGGAGTTGGAGATTGCTGTGAGCTATGATGACACTGAACTCTACCCAGAGCAATAGCTAGAGGCTCTGTCTCAAAAATAAATAAATAAATAAAATTATTATAAATCATTTCCAATAAAGTATTCTGGATATCAGCCTCTGTAAGATGTCTTTTGTATTAAAATTATAGAATAAGAAAAATTGACAGTGGGTGAAAATGTATTCCATTGGAACAAATTAACAACATGGCTGAATAGGAAGCCCTGGACTCCCCTTTCCCCTACAAACACAAGCATTCACCGTTAAATTCTCTTGGTGAGGAATCAAATTAATTGAAAGATTCCTATCCCCCAGAAGACAATGAAAGCAGACTCACCAAAGCATGTAGGAAGACTCAGGACACCCTCTAATCTAGAGACCTTTACCCTGGTGTAGTACTATACAATCAGGGAGAGACTCCCCTAGCTCCCAGCTTTACCCTGAGAGAGAAGAAGTTGGTTCATATGCCCAACATACCAACTTTTTCATAGGGACTACCAAGAGGACTGATTTATGTCTTGCCACTCTTGGAACTCTGATAGGCCTGGCACAGTTTACCACCTCAGGGGGAAGGAAGGCCATGGCTTGGGTGGACAGGCATCATTCATCCTTCCCAATGCTCAGCACAGAGTGAGCAGATGAAAAATCCTAGCTATTCCCTTTCCCCTGTAGAGGGAAAGAGTTAATCTGTGCAGATAGCACCCTAAATACTCTGGGGACAGCATTGTTCCTAGAGTCCATAATAGAATATTGGGGGGGGTTGTTTGTTTGTTTTTTGGTTTTTTTGAGACAGAATCTCACTTTATCTCCCTGGATAGAGTGCTATAGCATCACAGCTCACAGCAATCTCCAACTCCTGGGCTTAGGCGATTCTCTTGCCTCAGCCTCCCAAG